GGGAGGGGAGGGGAAGAGAAGGGAGGGGGAGGGGGCAGAGGCTCATTCTACAACAGTAGACTTCAAATGATTATTTAAGAAATGGGGAAGAAAAGTCGTTTTTGTTTATACACAGGCAAATCTAAGAACTCAAGTGTTTTTGTACTCAAGTAGGTCTACCTTTTTTGGATGGCTACAGATAAATCAGTCTGGTTGGAGGTTGCCTAGGGATGCAAGTCACCCGAAGAGCTGAATAGTACGGAAAAGTAATTTTTGAAATGGCTTTGTAATTAAGATTTAGATGTTTGGAATATCTTGAGTGGTATAAAAGTTATGTGAGAGTGTGAGGCTCTATCCATTCTGCTCTTTAAAAAGTATGATGTGCAGGCCTTGGTTTTAAACAAACCAGGTCAGTCAGGAAGATAGCTTGGCAGCAGAAGCTCCTGTCTGGCAAGCATAAGGTCCCAAGTTTGATTCCCAGTACTGCAAAAAATAAAAATAAAAAAAGAACAAAGAAAAACTCAGATCATTGTATGACTGCCACTGAAAACCACCTGTATAAGGCCTTAAGGAAGCAACATCCTGATTTGTGGACTACATTGTAGCTGTGTTTCTCAAGTAATGTTGGGGATATGGGCATCTGCCCAACAGAAGATAGGCTCAGAGTTACAGGTTTTATACATGACAGGACATTAGGTTCTTCTTATTTTTTTATCCCAGCATTCTGTTCTGCTCATTCTTGGTGTGCCTGTGTATGTATACCAACATCCGGGGAGTCATTTAGTAACTTGTTAGCTAAATAACTAACACTCGGGGCCGGGGAGATGGCTCAGTGGAATAAGCGCCTCCCTGGCAAGCGCAAGGGTCTGAGTTCAATCCCTGGTTCCGCCAAAAATAACTAACTAACTAACTAACTAACTAACTAACTGACACTTGTTTGTTTTATATTTGTATAAGAATTTTGTCCTCCACATTGGAAAACGATTCCCTCTCTCATACCTTTCTGGCCATCCCTTTGGATTTTTAATTATTGTATCCAAACAGCATAGATGAGCTGCACAGTGGGACAAGCCTGAGATTGCTGCCCTGGAGTTGGCCTCCAGATGTGTATCCCTGAGATTCTTTCTCCTGTGAAGAGGAAAAGGGGTTAGGGCCCTCGCTGCCCTGCAGAAGCTAGATGTGTTGTGGTTGTCCGCCTGCCTGCCCCAGGCACCACCGTCCACCGGAGGGTGAGGACTGGACTCAGAAGGCTTGGGGAGCCCTGGCTCTTGGCGCTGGCTGCAACTTCAGTTTCTAGGCCAGCAGTAATGACAACCTGAAAAGAGAGATGAAGCAACGTGACTGGGCTCTCCTCCTTCTGTTCCTCTTTGCTGTCATTGGACAGAATTCCTGTATGTGAAGAGCAGAGGACATCTGAATGTCCCTCTCCACAGCCCAAAGCTGTTCCATGATGGCAGAATTTTATAGCTGTAAATCTTTATTGTGCGTCAACACGCAGGTAGAAAACCACAGGTGCTTCCCAGAAAGTAGATGCAAAGCGTTTGTTTCCCGTTGTGCCTGTTCCCTGCACAGTATCTCAGTGAGCCTTGTTTACATCTATGCAGCGGTGACACTTGTTAATTGCTACTTAGGCCAGGATGAAGTTGTGACGCTGGCTGCTGCAGCTCACAATCGTCCCCTTTTGTCTGGGTCATTATTTTGTGTGAAATAATGGCTCCTGTTCCTGTGACAAGGTCTGAATGAGATGGTAATTAACGCATTTGTCATTGTACCATTATGCGGGGATAAGTTCATCTTCACTATGTATTAGAATTAAACCCAAACTGATCAGACATTTTTTTCTTCTCAAGGACAATTTCCCAGCATTATTTTCCCTCCAAATGTTTTAAATTAGCAGACTGGCCCTAGAATGTGCACAGAAAGGAGAGGAGATGTCATTATTTCCAACAATTAGGAAAAATAAAGTCTGTATTTGTTTTGTATCTGTGTCATGTAAAATCAGCCAAAGCTGCTGTTACAGTTTGTGTCTAGGTGTCCCTCCAAGGCCCCAGGCAGTCATGGGTTTTTACAGAGGTGGCTGGGTCTAGAATGTGTGAGATTGCTAGGGCATTGCTGGGATTAAGGGTGGGTGATGGCTGGGTTGCATCAGTCCACTTATTGGATTGGGATTGCCCTAATCTTGGTAGACAAAAGAAGGGATGGGGACAGGAAGAGGCTGTCTTGCTCTTCAGCTGTTGCTTTTGCTGTCTTCTGCTGCCACAGACGGCTGCCCCTCTGCTGTCTGTGTGCCTCCCTGCCTGGGAGCTGGCTGATTGTGGATTGAAACCTCCACAAACTATGGGCTAAATAAACCTTTCCCTCTTTATAACTTTAGGTGTTGGCTATTTTGTCTCAGCAATGGGAGAAAAGTAACTGAGACAGATGCCATAATTTATAGTCCCTCCCCATCAGGAATGGTTCATGGAGGTGAAGTAATTGTGTAAAGATGTCCCTGTTCCCTATAATGTGGATTTATGAGTGCGTAGGGCAGCCCAGTTAAAGCCAAGTTACTATGTCCCCCCCCCCATGCACTTCCGGCTGTGCTTTTACCCACTGGCCCGTATGTAAATGGTTTGTTGTGGACCATCAAACATTTGAAATGCAGAGTCATAGGTAGCCTTGAATAGAGTACGTTTCCCAAGTTTTAGAACAGAGTACTTAAGGGACAAAGAGTTGAGAGGCTATGGGAGAATGACAGTGTCCCCCTAATTCTTCTGGGACAAGGACTCAGGCTTTGTCCCAAAGGTGTCAAGTGAGCCTGGTGAGTCTGGAGGGGCCCTGGGGAATTTCCTATTCAGCGTTCCCACAGGGCTGTATAGAACTGACGAAGACCGAATGACCAGCCTGTTTGTTCATTCATAAGAA